CGGGCGTGGATCGGCTGCAAGTCTGCGTCCTGCAGAATTACAGGCTTTGGGCACCACTCCAAGAGCGCAATGTCCTTGCTCCCTGCATCGCGCACGAGGTTCAGGGCCGCAGCTAGTCAGCAGCAGCAGTAGCAGTGGATAGAGGAGATGGCACCGGGCGCAGCCAAGGTCTAGGGCCATGATTGCCGGTCTATCCCACAACGACGCTCTTTATGGTCGCTTGGTCCTTTCTCCTTCCCTCCACCTCCGCTCTCATATCAACTTGGCCTTGCTGCTGCTGGGAGCTCTTCGCTCTAGGCCAAGAAGGACCTTGTGGAGATCCCAAGGGCCAAGAGGCCAAAGTATCATGAATTTCAGGTGCTTTCCAGCCCGTTCCAGGGTTCAAGCACGCACGTTCATCCAGGCCTCTGGGAGTCTACGGGCGATTGCAGCTCTGTCAAGGTTCTAAAATCCCACCAAGCTGAGTGTCCTTATTCAGGAATCATAAGAGTCTATGGCCGCGTGCAGTGGCTCAAGCCTTTAATCCCAGAACTTCGGGAGGCTGAGGCAGGTGGATCACCTAAGGTCAGGAGTTCAAGACCAGTCTGGCCAATATGGTGAAACCCCGTCTCTACTAAAACAAAAAATTAGCTGCGTGCGGTGGCAGGCACCTCTGATCCCAGCTACTCCCAGCTACTCCCAGCTACTCAGGAGGCTGAGGCAGGAGAATCACTTGAACCTGGGAGGCAGAGGTTGCAATGAGCCAAGATCGAGCCACTGCACTCCAGCCTGGGAAAGAAGGCCAGACTTCGTCTAAAAAAAAAAAAAAAAAAAAAAAAAAAAAAAAAAAAAGCCTACAATTCAGTTGTGCGATTCAATTCTGAATTATATTCAATCCGAAGCCAACCGACGGGGGGGCAGAACACAGAGGGTAATTCATTTCTGAGGTCTGAAGTTGAAGACCAGCCAGCCTGGCCCACATGGTGAAACCCCATCTCTATAAAAATTAGCCAGGCGTGGTGGTGCACTCCTGTCATACCAGCTACTTGGGGGGCTGAGGCAATTCAATTCTGAATCAATTCAATTCTGAAGGTTCTGAATTCAGCTTGCAAGTCAAGATCAAATTCCTAATAGTTTCCATTAGTCTCTGCTTCCAAAAATCGAGGATTTTCTGCACCTGAAGTGGGTGACATTGGGCTTTAGAGAGGAACCTCTGAGCCCTTGCGAAAAACATGGGACCTGCAAGGAGCTTTTTTAAAAAATTTTTTCAGACCGGGTATCACTCTATCCCCTAGGTTGTGGCTGCAGTGCAGGGGTGCAATCTCAGCTCACTGCAACTTCTGCCTCCTGGGTTCAAGCCATTCTCCTGGCTCAGCCTCCTGAGTCGCTGGGATTACAGGCATCCACCACCATACCTGGCTAGTTTTTAGTACAAATGGGGTTCCACTATGTGGGCCACGCTGGTCTTGAACTCCTAACCTCAAGTGATCTGCCCGCCTCAGCCACCCAAAGTGCAGGCCTTACAGGCATGAGCCACCGCGCACAGCCTGGAGCAGCTAGTTCTGAGCATCTACCCTAGCTCCTCCAGCCTGGAATGTGAGTCCTGGCTCCATCAGTGTCCCTCACACTGTCTTCTCTCCCCTTACTTCCCCTTGATGCTCCCCACCCCCAGCTTCTAAACACACTGCTCAGTCCCTCTATCTCTCCCCTCCCTTCCTTAACTAGACTGCCTTTTGCCCTCAATACACCTGTCCAGTTTACCAGCAGCCTTCTCATTGCTGAAGCCAGTGTACCTTGCTCCCCAAGTGCTAGCCTCCCTAACCCTGTGGAGGCATTTGGCCATGTGGCCCCTCCTTCTCCACGCAGTTCAGGCCAGAACTCCATGACAGTCATTCACCAAGACTTAATCACGTCTTTGACTCTTGCCTAGACTCATCAGGTCCCTCCCCCTGTCCGTCCTTTTCACCCCAGGCCATAGTAGACTGTTTTGTTTGTTGTTGTTGTTGTTGTTTTTTTGAGACAGAGTTTCGCTCTTGTGACCCAGGCTGGAGTGCAATGGCGCGATCTTGGCTCATCGCTACCTCCGCCTCCTGGGTTCAGGCAATTCTCCTGCCTCAGCCTCCCGAGTAGCTGGGATTACAGGCATGCGCCACCATGCCCAGCTAATTTTTTTGTATTTTTAGTAGAGACGGGGTTTCACCATGTGTTGTTGTTGTTTTTATGAGACAGAGTCTGGCTCTGTTGCCCAGGCTAGAGTGCAAGCGATGTCTACTCACTGCAACCTCCACCTCCTGGGTTCAAGGGATGCTCGTGCCTCAGCCTCCCAAGTAGCTGGGATTACAGGTGTGTGCCACCATGCCCAGCTAATTTTTGTATTTTTAGTAGAGGCAGACTTTGCCATGTTGGTCAGTCTGGTCTCCAACCCCTGACCTCAGATGATCTGCCCGCCTGGGCCTCCCAAAGTTCTGGGATTACAGGCACGAGCCATTGCCCCCCCAAAAAATTGTACAGGTCATGTCCCTGCTCTAGAACCTTAGTAGCTGCCCACTGCTATGAGGCAAAGCCAGACTTTTTGGACAGGTATTTAAATCATCTGGGCTCCAGCTGGACAAAGGCTCTGGAAAGAGCTTCTGGAGACGGATCTCAGGATTTGCAGGCCTGGAGGGAGGGGTCCTACCTGGAGTCTGCCAAAAGGAGACCAAAGTTCTGGTTTCCCACTCCAGGAAAACCCAGTCCAAGACCAGGAATCCTTCTTTTCTTTCTTTTTTTGAGACAGAGCCTCCCTCTGTTGCCCAGGCTAGAGTGCAGTGGTTCGATCTCAGCTCACTGCAACCTCCACCTCCTGGGTGATTCTCCTCTCAAGAGATTCTCCTGCCTCAGCCTCCCAAGTAGCTGGGATTACAGGCATGCGCCACCATGCCTGGCTAATTTTGTATTTGTATTTTATTATTATTATTATTTTGAGACGGAGTTTCGCTCTTGTTACCCAGGCTGGAGTGCAATGGCGCGATCTCGGCTCACCAAAACCTCCGCCTCCTGGGTTCAGGCAATTCTCCTGCCTCAGCCTCCTGAGTAGCTGGGATTACAGGCACGCGCCACCATGCCCAGCTAATTTTTTGTATTTTTAATAGAGACGGGGTTTCTCCACGTTGGTCAGGATGGTCTCAAACTCCTGACCCCAGGTGATCCACCCACCTTGACCTCCCAAAGTGCTGGGATTACAGACATGAACCACTGTGCCCAGCCTAATCTTTGTATTTTAGTAGAGATGGGATTTCACCATCTTGGCTAGGCTGGGCTTGAACTCCTGACCTCATGATCCACCCACCTCAGCCTCCCAAAGTGCTGGGATCACATTCATAAACCACTACACCCGTCTCTTTTTTTTTTTGAGACAGTCTCACTCCGTCACCCAGGCTGGAGTGCAGTGGCACCATCTTGGCTCATTTCAACCTCTGCCTTACAGGTTCAAGCGATTCTCCTGCCTCAGCCTCCAGAGTAGCTGGGATTACAGGTGCCTGCCACCACGCCCAGCTGTTTTGTATTTTTAGTAGAGAAGAGGTTTCACCATGTTGGCCAGGCTGGTCTCGAATTCCTGGCCTCAAGTGATCTGCCTGCCTCAGCCTCTCAAAGTGCTGGGATTACAGGTGTGAGCCACCATGCCCAGCCTAGAAACCCTTTCTAAACATGAATTGAAGCAAGGAGGGGCAGGGATAGGGGGTGGAGTCATCAGGCTGGGCCACAGGAGGTGGGCGTGCCAGGGACTGGCTGGGCCCTGGCCAGAGAGGGGTTAACTACAAAGCAAATCGCAGAGAGCGAGATCAATGGGTTACAGGCTGCAGAGAGAGGAAAAGGCAGCAGCAACGCAGAGAGGCAGAGAAGAGCCAGGCAGAAAAGCCTGCCACCTGGGGGAAATCAGAGACTGAGGAGGAAGTGGCCAACTCCAGCTCAGCAGAGGGGGCAGAGGAGAGGAGGGGCCTTAAAGGCGAAGGGGGAGAAGTAGAAGGCAGACCAGTACCAGCAGGCAGGCACCAAGGGGCAGCTGCTGAACCAGAAGGCCCACCCAGCCTGGCCGTTCCACCCAGGATCAAGCCCACTGCCCAGGGTGGAGGTGGGTATTGCCCATCCTGGGCTTCGGGGACCTACTGCATGCTGGGTGCTGGGGTGGGGGCAGACATTGCCTTTCTTGCCTCCTCCCTGCCTATCCCCCCTTCCCCCTAATTTGGCACATCACCCCAGTGGTCCCAAGCCTGCAAGGAGATCCACAGGTAGTAGGAGACGTGGGCTGTAGAGTGGGACGGGGTGAGCATGGGTGTGGTGTGCACACACACATCCACGCACACGCACAGGTTGTCAGAGGAACCACCTGTTCTAGGTTCTCAGATGAGCACTCTAGATTAGGAGGTGAGATGCCAGGGTGGCAACAGCCCCAGAGCTGCCATTCCGAATGTGATATTAGCCTCCCATGTCCCCTCTCTGAGCCTCGATGTCCCTATGTGTAGAGAGGGAGCAGTGACCTACGTGCTCTTCCCAGTTTTGCCATTGTGTTGATCTCACTATACTGGAGTCTCCAATGACTCAGGGATGTTACCATGTTTTGCTGAAACTACAGCCTATAGCCAGAGAAAACCCTAAACCCATGTCCCAGGGTCTCCCCTGAACTTCAGATCCCCATTGAGAAGGAAATATACCAGCTTCTGGGGTTGGCCTCTCCCCTGTCGCCATGTCTTCATCCTACTCGGCTTGTGCCTCAGCCAGCCTCGTGGGTTGAAAGTGTCCCTCAAATACCTAGGCAGCCCTCCAGGCAGGAGTCTAGGGGTGTTCTTTTGGAACTCCCACCCCTTGAACACCATGAGCTTGCTCACACAGTGGGACTCAGTGATGACTTTGGCTCTGCCCTCCCCTCCTTCACCTCCCATGAGCTTCCAGCAAAGAAGACCTGAACAGACCCAGGTAGGGGGAGCTGGACCCCAGGGTCAAGCAACCAGGATTGGGGGCTCTTGCCTGAGGACCCCAGCTTCTCTTCCCCAGGTGCCTGTCTGATGAGGAGAGATGCCTGATGCCCAGAACATTTCGCTGGACAGCCCCAGGAGCGTGGGTGCCATGGCAGTGCCTGTGGTCTTTGCCCTAATCTTCCTGCTGGGCACAGTGGGCAATGGGCTGGTGCTGGCCGTGCTCCTGCAGCCTGGCCCGAGTGCCTGGCAAGAGCCCGGCAGCACCACGGATCTGTTCATCCTCAACCTGGCGGTGGCTGACCTCTGCTTCATCCTGTGCTGCGTGCCCTTCCAGGCCGCCATCTACACACTGGATGCCTGGCTCTTTGGGGCCCTCGTCTGCAAGGCTGTGCACCTGCTCATCTACCTCACCATGTACGCCAGCAGTTTCACGCTGGCTGCTGTCTCAGTGGACAGGTGCGCTGTGCCTGGGGCCTGGCTGGACCCAGCTGCGGGGGGTTGGGGGGGATGACCTGAACAGATCCTCATTGGCCTTAGGAAGGAGAGAGTGGGGGACCAGAAAGGGACGTGGGAGGGAGGGAAGAAAAGCTCCCTGGCCTCTCAAAAACAGCCTCTGGGCACCTGCCCCAGAGCATGCTTGAGGGGAATGTTCTGCCCTCCCCTTCCTCCACTGTGAGCTTCCAGAGGATGTCTCTGAGTCTCAAGTGGGAGCCCAGGGTCTGGCACATAGCAAGTACTCTGTAAGCGTGAAATGAATGGCAAAAGCAGCTCACGAATTCGTTCATCAGTTTTTGTTTTCTGAGACGGAATTTTGCTCTTGTTGCCCGGGCTGGAGTGCAGTGGCGTCATCTTGGCCCACCGCAACCTCTGCCTCCAGGGTGCAAGTGATTCTCCTGCCTCAGCCTCCTGAATAACTGGGATCAAAGGCGCCTGCCACCACGCCTGGCTAATTTTTTTGTATTTTTAGTAGAGATGAGGTTTCGCCATGTTGGCCAGGCTGCTCTCGAACTCCTGATCTCAGGTGATCGGACTGCCTCGGCGTTCCAAGTGCTGGGATTACAGGCATGAGCCACCTCCCTCTCCACCCTCGCCCCCGGCCCAGCTATATTCTAACTGCCCACACCTGGTCCAGCTGTGCGCACATTTGCTTCCACCGCTTGAAACTTGGGGTCAAATCCAGACTCACTCCCTAGCTGATGATCTTGGGCAACTCACTTCTCTCTGGGCCTCATTTGATGCATCCATAAACTAATTCTAGAAATAACACCTCACCGGGATCTGGCCCTTGCTAGGTGCCAGGTACTGCTCTAAGCACCTGTCCGTTCACACCCTTAATCCCCGCCACCTCCCCCACGGTTGATAGGAAGCGCACCTGGCCACAGGCTGCGGGCGCTGGGCGTGGCGTGGGCCCGGGCGGGAGGGCGCACGCCCGCCGCGCTCACCCGGCGCCCCCCGCAGGTACTTGGCCGTGCGGCATCCGCTGCGCTCGCGGGCCCTACGTACGCCACGCAACGCCCGCGCCGCGGTGGGACTGGTGTGGCTCCTGGCGGCGCTCTTCTCTGCGCCCTACCTCAGCTACTACGGCACTGTGCGCTACGGCGCGCTGGAGCTCTGCGTGCCAGCCTGGGAGGACGCACGCCGTCGCGCCCTGGACGTGGCCACCTTCGTCGCCGGCTACCTGCTGCCTGTGACCGTGGTGAGTCTGGCCTACGGGCGCACACTGCGCTTCCTGTGGGCCGCCGTGGGACCCGCGGGTGCGGCGGCGGCCGAGGCGCGGCGGAGGGCGACGGGCCGCGCGGGGCGTGCCATGCTGGCGGTGGCCGCGCTCTACGCGCTCTGCTGGGGCCCGCACCACGCGCTCATCCTGTGCTTCTGGTACGGCCGCTTCGCCTTCAGCCCGGCCACCTACGCCTGCCGCCTGGCCTCGCACTGCCTGGCCTACGCCAACTCCTGCCTCAACCCGCTCGTCTACGCGCTCGCCTCGCGCCACTTCCGCGCGCGCTTCCGCCGCCTGTGGCCGTGCGGCCGCCGACGCCGCCACCGCGCCCACCGCGCCCGCCGCACCCTCCGTCGCGTCCGCCCCGTGTCCTCGGGCCCAGTCGGCTGCTCCGGAGATGCCCGGGCTCGCGGAAGGCTGCTGGCGGGCGGCGTCTGGGGTCCGGAGTCCAGGGAGGGACCCGCCCGCGACGGAGAGGCTGCCCGAGGGCCGGAATAAACACTGCCGCCTGGACTCTACTGGTGTCCGTCTGTCTCACTTCCCTTCTCCAAGGGCGGGAGGCCACCAGGCCAGGGATGGGGCAACGCCACCAGCTCTTTGAGGAGCGTTGAGTGGAGCGACTTGTCCCCGCTCCATGGTGGAGCACCAGCTCCGCGGACACCCCTGGGTGTCAAATTACAGCCCGCAGACCCTGCCTGTAGCCAGCCTGGCAGTCCCTCTGCCCATCCTTCCAACTGGGTGACAACTTCTAGGCCCTGCTTCCTCCACCACCTCTTACCCACCCCCTTCTTGGTTCCAAGTCCAGTCCTAGGTAATTTAAAAACAAGTAATTTGGCTGATGTTTAAGTGAAACCACACGTGCTACCTTCGTTGTCAAAACAGCTTTGCAAAGTAAATATGATGAGCCCCATTTTTTTTTTTTAAGAGAGGGAGTCTTCTCTGTTGCCCAGGCTGGAGTGTGGCATGATCTCAGCTCACTGCAACCTCTGCCCCCGCCCCGCCCCCGTTCAAGCAATTCTCTTAGCTCAGCCTCCAGAGTAGCTGAGATTACAGGGTCTCAGGCCTCAGCCTAGAAGCTAACAACATTAGAGGCAGGTGGGAGGGTGGGTGGATCTGAAATCATTGATCTGAAATCAATTTCTTGGTTAATTATTGGGTTTTTACCACCACAGACTTCCACAGCTGTGTGTGGGGCTAGGGAGGGAAGGAGGCACTGGGAGGCCAGCTGGAGGCCAGGCATGGCTCAGTTCTGAGCCAGGGGCACCAAATGGAATAACAAAAGGCGTTTGGAGCAGAGAATGCACCCATGACTTAATGCCCAGGGGAAGTCCGTCTGGACTGGCTGGCCTGAGTCCTGGAACGGAAGTCTGTTAAGGAAGAGGTCTGAGGTTTTCAGGGCACCCAGTCAGGTGTGGGGAGATACAGTTTTTGAAAAGAATCAGAACCAAGAAAAACCATGGAAGCTGAGAGGAGATGCCCCAGAGGTGGAGAAAAAAGACACTGAATAGAAAAAGGCTGGGCTCGGTGGCTCACACTTGTAATCCCAGGACTTTGGGAGGCAGAAACGGGCGGATCAACTGAGGTCAGGAGTTCAAGACCAGCCTGGCCAATGTGGTGAAACCCCATCTCTCCAAAAAATACAAAACTTAGCCGGGCATGGTGGCAGGTGCCTGTAATCCGAGCTACTCTGGAGGCTGAGACAGGAGAATTGCTTGAACTGGGGGACGGGGGTGGAGGTTGCGGTGAGCTGAAATCACACCACTGTACTCCAGCCTGGGTGACAAAGAAGACCCTATCTCTAAAAAAAAAAAAAAAAAAAAAAAATGAGGTTAATCATATTTACTTTGCAAAGCTGTTTTGACAAAGAATGTAGCATGTGTGAGACATACAGTACCTGCTTAATAAATACTATTTTTAGAGACAAGGTCTTGCTTTGCTGCCTAGGCTGGAATGCAGTGGCATGAGCCAAGATCTCAGCAGGCTGAGTGACAAAGTGAGACCCTGTCTCAAAACAAAAAAACCCACCAACCAATAGGGACAGTCCAGGCCCGCACATAGTAGGCATGTAACTGACACTTGATACATGAGGACGTAGGGGCCAGAACCCATGACCCTTCCCTTCCTTCTTCCCTGAGCACCCATCCTAAGTGAGGCTTTGGGATCAGTGATGGCATGAGTCCAACATGGTCACTGCCTTCCAGCAGCTCTCAGTCTGGCTGGAGAGCCAGATACAAAATAAAAAAGGACAGTGCTGAGACAGGACACAAGCAATTCAGAAAGGCCACAGAGGAAGCAGCTCCTGCCTTCTGAGCAATCCCAGCAGGACCCCCAGAGGTGACTATTTTTAATTTTTTTGAGACAGTCTTGCTCTGTTGCCCAGGCTGGTGTGCAGTGGCGCAATCTCTGCTCACTGCAACCTCCACCTCCCTAGTTCAAGCAATTCCCTGCCTCATCCTCCCTAGTAGCTGGGATTACAGGTGCACGTCACCACACCGGGCTTTTTTTTTTTTTCTAGTAGAGACAGGGTTTCACCATGTTAGCTAGACCAGTCTTGAACTCCTGACCTCAGGCAATCCACCGGCCCCAACCTCCCAAAGTGCTGGGATTATAGGCGTGAGCCATCACGCCCAGCCCAGAGGTGAGATTTGACGTGGATTTTCTGGAGAAATGTGGGGAGGGGCCTGCCAGGTGGAGCGACAGCCTGTGCAAGGCAGGGGACGTGCAGGGCAGTAAGTGACTCCGGCAGCGGAAGCAGGGGGAGGCTGGGGCAGAGGATGCCTGGAGGGCAGGAGCTTCATCCTTCAGGCAGACGGCAATGCCGCTGAAGGTTTTCAGGAGAGGAGGGGCCCTATCGGGTATGCAGTTCAGAAAGCCCCGGGACTGCTGTGTAGAGGCTGGGATGGGGGCCTAGACTTGGCAGAGGACTCAGATCAGGTGGGTCCTCCTGGGCCCTTCTTGGAAGTGAGGACACCTGTAAAGAGGCTGCTCCGTGAGCTGTGTTGAAAGCCAACGAGGCCTGGCCAGGTATTTTTGTTGTGGATTTGGCAGGAAGATGGATGGCCTGCTGCTGGGCTTGGGCTTGGTTCTGGAGGCTCCGAGGTTTGCTTCGGGGGGCTAATGAAACACTTGGAAGAGCAGATGGTCGTAATAATAATGGATAACTGTGTGTCCAGTAGAGCCCAAGGCAGGCAAGAGGGTTGGAGGAGAGGCTGAAGGATCCTTGGCCACTGTCCCCCAGGGCCTAAGAGAACCCTCGTGATCTGAGCCCTGTGCCAAGTGTAGGGCTGCACCTGAGGAAGGCCTGGAGACCTGGAAAGGCACTTTTCTTAGTTGGAAGGTGGTTTGGATTCTACAACCCTCTCACCTTCCTGTTTGTGCAAACCTCTTAAGAGGCGTGGCTGAGCGTGGTGGCTCATGCCTGTAATCCCAGCACTTTGGGAGGCTGAGGCCGGTGGCTCATTGATGTCAGAAGTTCAAGACCGGCCTGGTTAACATGATAAAAACCTGTCTCTACTAAAAATACAAAAATTAAGCGGGCATGGTGGCGGGTGCCTGTAACCCCAGCTGTAAGTAGCTAAGGCAGGAGAATTGCCTGAACCTGAGAGGCAGAGGTTGCAGTGAGCTGAGATCTTGCCATTGCACTCCAGCCTGGTCGACAAGAGTGGAACTCTGTCTCAGAAAAAAAGGAGAGGCCTGCAGCATTCATGTGTGAGCGCCTACTAGGTCCAGGGCTCTTCTGCAGACAAGAAAGAGAACAGGAGGAGACAGAGGAGCCTAGAGGAGAAGCCCTAGCCCAGTGTGGGGAGCCAGAAAAGACTTTCCAGAGGAGCTGGAGCCAAAGCCACGTCCTGAGGCAGAAATCTCCCAGGGCAGGTGGGGAAGGGAGAGACAGGAGCACATGTGCAGGTCACGTGCCCAGGGACGGGGCAGGCTGCAGCCTCAGCAGGGAGGTGGGAGAGGTGGGCTGAGTCCTGAAGGATTCTGTAATCTGTCTGAAACTGAGACTACTTTGTCACAAGGGCAACGGGAAGCCACTGAAAGGTTTTGAACAAAAGGGTGACTTAAGATTTACTCTTTAGGAGGCTGGGTGCTGTGGCTCACACCTGTAATCCCAGCACTTTGGGAGGCCAAGGTGGATCACCTGAGGTCAGAAGTTCAAGACCACCAGCCTGGGCAACATGGTGAAACCTCATCTTTAAAAAAAAAAAATGTACAATTGCTAGGACTTGGTGACAGTTGGAGGGTAAGGAGGAGAGAGGCGTCCCAGATGACACTTCTGGCTTGGACTACTAGAGGGTGGCAGTGGGGATAACTGAGGGGGTCAGTTTTGGGTGTCATGGTGGGGGTGCCTACAGACTAGTGCTGTACTCTAAGTATGTGCCACGTTTCACGTGGCCCTGGAACTTATTCCTCATCAGCCTTAGAGTTTGAAGATGGAGAAACTGAGGCTCAGAGATTAAATAGCTTGCCCAAATCACACAGCTAGCCAGAAACAGAACAGGGGCTTAACTCAGGCTTGTCTGATTTTGGTTCCATGGTCTTTAATGGAAGCCATGGGAGAAGAGGCAGGAAGGAATTGGTTGAGGGGGGGAGGGAGGAATTTGACATGTGCAAAGGTGACCTCCTCATCTCCCTCACCCCACTCTAGGCAGCCACCGAGGCAAGGCTGCAACCCAGCCCTGCAGAGAGCAGGCAAGTTAACCAACCCCTCCTCTGCCTGGGCTGGTAGGAACAGCAGCATCTGTCAACTTCGAGGTGTGCATCTGGGGAAATAAACACCGATTAATGACCCTGAGGTTTCCTATTAACGAACACCAGTTCTTCAGCCCTGACGCAGGCTCATTTGTGAGCCACTGGCTGAATGCAGGATGGAACAAGGCCAGAGGGAGAGGCTGAGCAGGGAGTTAAACTGCTTCTGGCTCAAGATCAGGCTGATTTATTGAGGCATCTGTTTGGTGCCAAGTTAAGTGGCCCAGGGTCTGTGTAGGGGGCAAGGTTGAAGCAGGAAGGGTGATGAGGGCGAGGGATGCCAGAATTAGGCTGGAATACCCAGGGGTGCTCTGAGGCTCCCCACGCTTCCTTGGTCCTGGCTGGGTGTGGTGCAGGGGAGGGCACTGTCCTGGGCATCCGATGAGCCTGCAAGGGCAACTCTGAGAGGCGGGTGGTGTAGGGATAAGGCAGAGACTTCCCAGTCATGCTGTTGGCATTGAATCCAGACTACTGCGCTTGGTACCTGTGACCTCTCCATGCCTCAGTGACCTGCACAACTGAGCTCAGTCTGAGCTTCATTTCAGGCACTGCGGATGCATCCAGAGGGAAAGCGCCCCAGGTTGCTCACCGTCCGCCCCCAGCTTCCTCAGATGTCTCGAGGGCTTTCTCAGGCAGATCCTTGTCTCCTTTGAGGCCCTCACAATCTAGTGGAGGAGGCGTGACTCAACTGCCTGTCCCTCTGGGCACGCTTCACTGCCAAGTGCATCTGTGGACATGGGCCACCCTCCTGGGCTTCCAAAGCTGGTGAAAGTTGCCAGGCTCGGGTCTGTTGGTCAGAGCAGCTGCTGCCCTCTGGGCACAGGGACAAGAAAACACTGTGGGCGTGGAGCCCTGGTCTGGACCTGGGGGCACTGGGCAGGGCTCTTGCACTTCTCCAAGCCCGTTTTCCCACATGGGAAGTGTGCTGACTGTATCTCCCTGTGGACACTGAGGGCTCAGTGTTAGCTTGGGAGCTAGCATGGGGGTTCAGGCTGTAACTCCCCTTCAGCCCCATGGATGGAGGGAACCAGGGACTTCGTCGGGATTACCCTAGGTTTCAGTCTATCTTCCTACCCCAGCTTGGGTTCAGTATCTGAAGTAGTCTGGGGAGCAGGTGGTCCTGTTGGGGTAGGGGCTTTTCCCCGGACTGAGGTCACAGCTAGAGCCAGAAACCTCAGTGCCTGCTCTGGGCTAAGAATGCATCTGACCCCAGGATGCAGGTAACTGCCTACCTCACCTGGTTTCTGCCTGCCAGGGCCAATCTTCAGACCTCAGGACTTCCCAGCCTGTCCCACCCCACTCTCTGGCCAGCTTTGAACCCTCCTGGATCCACTTTTCCCAGACCATCTTCTGGTTGTCCTTCTCTGTGGCCTGGCTCATGCTGGTCCCCTACACACTCACCAAGACCCTCAGGACCACTCCACACCCAGCTCAGCTCCATCCTGTGTAGTCCCTTCTCTTTCCTCAGGTGACCAGGTGCGGGTCTTGGTGTTCCCTGTCCCTGGGAATGCCTACTGGCCGGAGACCAAGGCATTCACTTGGTAAGGCCCGTCGGTTCCTACCAGCTGTGTCCCGGGAGCACTGGGGACATTGCACTTTGGAAACCTGGCAGAGAGAGTGCGAGACCTAGGCTGGGCCCCACTCACCAGCTGCCTGACCTCAAGCAAGTTACTTTCTGTCTCTCAGCCTCAATTTCCTGTATCTCTAAGATAGGGAAGGAGAGCAGTAAACACCACAGGATACCTAATGCTTTATTAACAAATACTAAATCCAAGGGCTTGAATATAGTCCCGGCTAGCACTTGGTAGGAGCTCAACAAATGTTTTGGAAACTGATTGCGAGAAGGTTCTAAATTTTGGGAATGGAATGGTAGAAACAGTATGTACTCTGGGGATAAATCCAGGTTCTAGCCCCAGCTGCTTGGCTGGGTGACTGTCTGTTTCCTCCTTACCTACAAAAGGCAGCAAGGCCATATGTCGTCGTCGTTTTTTTTTTTTTTTTTTTTTTTGAGACAGAGTTTCGCTCTTGTTACCCAGCCTGGAGTGCCATGGCGCGATCTCGGTTCACCGCAACCTCCGCCTCCTGGGTTCAAGCAATTCTCCTGTCTCAGCCTCCCGAGTAGCTGGGATTACAAGCACGTGCCACCATGCCCAGCTAATTTTTGTATTTTTAGTAGAGACGGGGTTTCTCCATGTTGACCAGGATGGTCTCGATCTCTTGACCTCATGATCCACCCACCTCGGCCTCCCAAAGTGCTGGGATTACAGGCGTGAGCTACCACGCCTGGCTTTTTTTTTTTTTTTTTTTTGAGATGGAGTCTGGCTCTGTTGCCCAGGATGGAGTACAGTGGCCTGATCTCGGCTCACTGCAACCTCCACCTCCCGGGTTCAAGCGTTTCTCCTGCCTCAGCCTCGAGTAGCTGGGATTATAGGTATGTGCCACCACGCCCAGCTAATTTTGTAATTTTAGTATAAGTGAGGTTTCTCCATGTGGGTCAGGCTGGTCTCGAACTCCCGACCTCAGATGATCTGCCCACTTCGGTCTACCGAAGTGCTGAGATTACAGGCATGAGCCACTGTACCTGGTAGACACATATCTTACAATATAGTTGTGATCTGTATTTCTGTCCAAAGGCTTTCCACTGTTCGCCAGATAGGCAAGGGCAGGGAGCTTTTCCTTCCATTCCCTTTTGTTCTCCCACCTAGAACACTGCCTAGCACATGTTAAGCACTAAGTATTTTTTTTCTCTTTTTTTGAGACAGAGTCTCGATTTTTTGCACAGGCTGGAGTGAAGTGGCTCAATCTTGGCTCACTGCAACTTCTGCCTCCTGGGTTCAAGCAATCCTCCTGCCTCAGGCTCCTGAGTAGCTGGGATTACAGGCGTGTGCCACCACATCTGGCTAATTTTTGTATTTTTGGTAGAGAAGGAGTTTCGCCATGTTGGCAGGCTGATCTCAAACTCCTGACCTCAGGTGATACACCCGCCTTGGCTTCCCAAAGTGCTGGGATTACAAGCATGTGCCATGGGCACCCGGCCCAATACTCCTACCATGAAAGAAACATGAGGTATAAAGCAAAGGATCTTAACCCAGAAGGCAAAATCAACAAATGCGAGTTTCTTCTTCCTGCCCTCTCCTAAGCCTTTCTCCTCACCTCCCCGACTCTTCAGTAATTCCCAGAGCAGCCAGCAACCATCAGAACTCACCCCCGCGAGGACAACCTCGGCTGAGCTCTCCACCCTGCCCTGGCCCAGTCCAGCCAGCTCAGGAACCACTTTGGTGTTTTCTGACTCACTCCAGTGTCTGGAGCCGACTGTATCTGGCTGGCTCTTCAGACACAATTGGGGTTATGGGAAATATCCTGGCTGGAAACAGGGTGAGGCAGATTGGCTGTCTACATGGCTGTCTGGTAAGTGTTTGATGACTGACCTATAAGCCACCTACAGTCAAGCCTTTGGTTCACTGTCTACGTGGCCAGGGAGTCAACCACAGACCCTTCACCTGCCGCAAGGGCCGGTTCTCCTGGCTCCATGGCTCCAGGGATGGAGGACACTGCAGGACACACAAGCCTTGCTTCCCAGCTGAGGACCGTGAGTCATCTCAGGGCAATGCTGGGATTTCACAGTCCCAGCATGCCCTAGCCCTCAGCTCTGCAAATACCAAGCAGCCTGCTTAGAGAACAGCGGGCTCAGGAGTGTCCCCGGTAGGCCCTTACCTATCTGCTCCCACAGCTCTGTAGCAAGAGTTGTAAACTTTTTTGAGTGTGGAGCCTGCTGAGAATGAGAATGAGCTGTGGACCCTTTTCCCAGAAACGCCTGTGCACGCTCTCCACACAAAACCTTGCATAATTTCAGGGACTCACACCACCCTAAGGGTTCACTAATTGAACCCGTGGACCTGAGGTTGAGAAACCTTACCTAGATTCTTCCCCAGGTGATCAGCTCGGGTTAGAGAGGGGAGGCTGGCAAGCAGGACCCATGAGAAGGCCCCCTCCTGGAGTTTGAGGCCACGCTCTCCTGCCCTGCCTCTCCTCTGTCCTGGACTCCTCCCTGCTCAGCCCCACTCCTGGGGCCATGGCCATGGCCGGGGCTGTTTGGGCACAGCGGCAACCCTGGGGCCAGAGTGGGCAGGCTCACCTGGAGGGGATCAGAATAACATGGCAGGAAGTGAGGGAAAAGCCACCCAGGACTGCACCTCTGACCACCTATGTCACTGGGGTGCACTCCTCCCTTACCTCCCTCAGGCAGCAGCTTGAGTTCCATGGGTGCTCCCCACAGCTCCCTCTGCTGCCTCTCTTCAGGCTTGCAGCCACCACAACAGTTTCCTTGCCCAGCCTTGCCAACCTGGTGGGCACTGGGCTTCCATCTCACAGGGTCCTGGGGACAGGCCTATCCTCCATCTCGTACCCACAGACAGACCCTTTTTTCCTCCGGGCTTGGTTCTATGAGTTCAATGCAGATCTGAGCCATAGCAAGCTGGGGTTGGGGAACGCACTACTCTCAAAAGTAGCCAGGGATTCCTGGCTTGGTGAGAGGGAGAGTAGGGCAGAGCCAGGCGCGACATGGACTGATCACCTGGAGAAAGTCGCCATCAGAAGCCTCGGCCCAGGGCGGGGCCTGACAGTGCCTTCTCCTGGATTTCCCCTGAGCAGACCTCTGCCATGAGGGCATGCTTCCTTCTGCCTATCCATGGCCCACAGCAAAGGACTGGCGCTCCTGCAGCGGCGGGGTGGTTTCAGTTCTGCTGACAGAACTGAAAAACTCAAGGTGAGTTTTGGAGCTTCTCTACAGTATTAGTTTCTGACTGTTGCTGCAATAAATTACCACACACTTAGAGACTTAACCCAAATTTATTCCCTTAGATTTCTGGAGGCCAGAATTCTAATGTCAGCCTCACTGAGCCAGTCCAGGTGGAAGCAGGGCCGGCGCCTTCTAGGCCTCGGTGGGAGAATGCGTTTCCTGGCTCTGGAGGCAGCCTGCAATCCGTGGCTTGCACTGCCCTACTCAATTCCGGTCACCTGCTGTGCTCTTATATGGACCTGGGTGAGGACATCAAACCCTCCTGGACCAGCCGTGATAATCTTCCAGGCCAAAGATCCTTAACTTCTTTACATCTGCAAAGCCCCTTTGGCCACAGAAGGTAAGGCTGACAGGTTCCTGGGATTAGGACATGGGCACCTTGGGGAGCCACTACTGGCCTACCACAACTAGGCTGCAAAAGTGACCCTCCACCCTCCGGTGTAATAGTTTTGGTGTTTCAATGACTAGGAGGAAAAGGAATGGGATTTTTTGCTTTGGAGTCCCTTTTCACCTTGTATTTTTAAGGTTTAGGACTCACCAACCCTCCCCTTCCAACCAGAGAAACTCGCCATCGAGGTTGAGAAACCTTGTCTTGATTGCAGTTATCTCCTTGAAAGTCTGGTGACAGGCTGGGCGCAGTGGCTCATGCCTATAGTCCTAGAACTTTGAGAGGCTGGAGCAGGTGGATCACTTGAGGGCAGAAGTTCAAAATCAGGCTGGCTAACATGGTGAAACCTCATCTCTACTAAAAATACAAAAAATTATCCAGGTGTGGTGGACACCTATAATCCAGCTACTTGGGAGGCTGAGACAGGAGAATCACTTGAACCTGAGAGGTGGCAGCTACAGCGAGCTGAGATCGCAACATTACACTCCAGCCTGGGTGACAGAGCGAAACTGTCTCAAAAAAAAAAAAAAAAAAAAAGAAAAGGAAGTCTGGTGACGTGTCTAAGTGCTGGTGAGTGTCACAGGACCAGCTAAGGGGCCCACCGAGTTCCCGTGGCCAGAGGGTGCCTGCCTGTCCACACCTGCTGACTACAACAAGCTTGTAGCTGGGACGGAACACAAGGAAGAGTCTGAGGCCTGGAGGGTGCCATGAAGGCCATGGGCAAGTGAGGTCTGCTGGGACAGTGTAGGTCTGCAGAGCTGAAGTGTAGCTGCAGAGGCTGGTCTGGTGCTGCAGGAACTGGAAGAAGCTGGGAGCTGTGGTCCCTGTCTACAGAGATGCTGGAGACGGACTGGAGCAGCTCTGAGGCCATGGAGAGAGCATCTCTGCCCCACTGCATCTGCAGGTGAGGGCAAGGTCCTCACCAGACAAGTGCAGCTCCAAGTCCCAGATGTAGGCCTTTTTCTTGGTACTGAGAGAGCAGTGGGGCAGGGGTGGGCAGTGGCAGGAAGGCAGGGAGCCGCTCTTGCTACCTCTTCTCCATGCTCTGCATCTGCAGACTGAGGGAGGTGAAGCTGGCCAGGAGGTCAGTCACTTCATCCACCTGCAGGACAGAAGAAAGGCTCTGTTATGGGGGGGTGGGGAGTGCCAGGGCCCCTGGGTGTCTTCCGCAATACCACAGGCACAGAACACAGGCATGGTATCTCCTCCTGGGGCATGTGATGGCTTCTGACTATGCAATAGCTGACCAAGGTTAGTCCTTGGCACCGAGTGGCCTAGGGCTATCCTAGAGGACATAACACACATGCCTAGAGGGCATAACACACATGCCTAGAGGGCATAACACATAAACACACACTAGCCACTGGCAGCTTCAAAGGAATGAATGGAGGCTTTGAAGCTGCAACCCCAAAAATCACAGCCTCTTTCCCCCACTTTTTTGAGACAGGGCCTTGCGCTGTTTTTTGTTGTTATTTCTTTTTACAATTTTTGCCTTTTTCCGCATGTTCTAAGGGCCTTGCTCTGTTACTCAGGCTGGAGTTCAGTGGCAATCACAGCTCACTACAGCCTCGAACTCCTGACCTCCAGTGATCCTCCCATTTCAGACTCCCTGTAACAGTGTTGGGATTACAGGCAGGAGCCCCTGCGCCTGGCCCTAGCCTACAGTTTCTTTCTGATACGAGTGTCTGGTGGCATCGGAGCAGGGTGGACTGATCCTGGGTCTGGGCCTGTGGCTGCGGCTCACCTGTTCTTTGGTAGTGGTCATCTGGAGGTGGGTACACAGGTCGTCCAGCTGTTCTCGCTGCTCGTGCCGCCCTAGGCGGTTCAGGTACTCCCTCAGCATATGGATGATCTGGAACAAGAGGGTGAGCTGAGCTGCCTGGGCCCTTAGGGAGGCAGACAGGCTGATGCTGCTTCCAAGCAGCACAGTGGAGCAGGTGTCAACTGGGGTCAGTGGGAAATAACCCAGGAGCCCTGGGGCCAGAGGCAGGTGTGTCTGTGGTTAGGCCAGCATCTGTACAGTGCTGCCTCGGTGCCACGGGCTCCACACAGGAGGAGGACTCACCTGCTTCACCTCCAGCCGCACAGTCTCCAGGCACTGGGCATGGCCCTCCTGCAGGATGTTCAGCTTCGACTTGGCCAGGTGCAGGGATGTGCGGCCAGCTCGATCCAGGGCATCCACACGGGCCCCTGCAAGGCAGCAGCTGAGGTGAGCATTCTGGGGGTTAGGGGAGGGAGAGGACAGAGGGGAAGGAACCACATACCTCCGCGTAGCAGTGTGGTGATGACAGGGACGTGGTTGGTGCAGGCCGCTGAGGAAGAACAGAGACTTAAGAATCCAGGACTGGCCAGGTGTGGTGGCTCAAGCCTATAATCCTAGCACTTTGAGAGGCCAAGGTGGGTGGATCACCTGAGGTCAGGAGTTTAAGACCAGCCTAGCCAACATGGTGAAACCCCATCTTTATAAAAAAAAAAAAAGAATTCAGAACCACCAGAGCCTGGCTCCATGTGTCCACTGGAGGGAGCAGGGCTGTCCCCCCAAGCTGCCTGTGCCAAGTTATGCCTACTGAGAAGGTATCGCCAAGGCAACAGCTGGGTAGGACTCGGCAGTCAAGTTCAACTCCCTCCCTGTACAGCAGAGGAAACTAGGGCCTGGAGATGGGATCTGCGTCACTGTGAGTCACAGTGCTGAGTGCTGCTGAGCTAACCTCGGTTGCTAAATTGGCTCTGCCAAGGTCACAGCCAACTGCTAAATGATTGGAAAACCCATGGAACACACGTTGGGGAGTGCAGCCCTGGGAGTGCAGGCTAGGATCTTCCCTGACACTCAGACATACTGCTGGGAGCATGCAGGGCCCCAAGCTCTTCTTCTAAAGAGCCTTTCTGTGCTGCATGTAAGTTGTCTTGGTGACTTCTGACATGCTTACCCAGGTGCAGTGGCGTGTTCCCCAGCCCATCTCGCTGGTTGGGATCAGCCCCGTGGTCCAGGAGCAGCTTCACTGGAAAAAGACAAACCCAAGAAGAGCTGTCCGAGGCTTCCATCGCCTGGACCCTGAACCCCTAACCTAGCTACAGAGGCCGGCTCAGAGTGGGAGACACTGAATGCAAGCACGGATTGCTATGTTACTTCATTCATGGACTCACTCATTCACTTAGCAGGGTTCATGTGCAAGTCCCTGAGGGCCAGGAACTGAGGATTTGGGGAGGGCCTCTTGGCCTATGCAGGTATAGGAATGAGATTTTAAGGGTTAAGTGATATTCTTCCAATAGCAGCTCTCCTGGTAAAGGCTCGCCAGGGCATAGTCTGCTTCTCCCACAGCCAAGCACCATGGTGGGAATGAAGTCAATAAAAAATGCTGAGCTCCATGGACAGCCTCTCTTGGACAGTTCACCCCAGGGGTGGGCTGTAGTACCATCAGGGTCTGCCAATACCCAGAGGGATGCAGAGGAAGGTATCTTGGGTCCCAGACATTATACAGGGAGGCCAGACTGAATGTTACACTATCTACAAAAACTAATTCAGGCTCACGCCTGTAATCCCAGCACTTTGGGAGGCCAAGGTGGGTGGATCACTTGAGGTCAGGAGTTCAAGACCGGCCTGGCCAACATGGAGAAATCCTGTCTCTACTAAAAAGACAAAAAATACAGTGCCAAGTCTTCCTTACATCCAGAACAACTGGGCATCCCAAGGCTGTGCAGACAGCAGCTCCTCCCCAAAGGCCTTTGCAGAGACACTACTTGCCCAGCCCCTCTCCCTCCTCCCTCTCCAGGACTCACCAATCTGGTCATTGCCATTGCAGGAGGCAAAGTGTAGAGCTGTGCGGCCCTTGTCATCAGCTGCACAGGGATCTGCACCGTCTTCCAGCAACTGCTGCACTGACACCACCAAGACGGAGCGAGGGAGGGGGAGAAAGCGGCAATGTTAGCTAAGCTGCAGACCCAAGGGGTGAAGAGGGAGGCTCAGAGGTGCCTCCAGACAAGACATCAACAGCACATAGGAAAGCAACCCTTCCTGGATGCTGGTCCCATGGGGAGTGCCATGATAAGGGACTTATTCTTCTGAGGGCACAACTGAGGGCCATGGATTCTGGGTCCTCAAACTACACGCCTAGTGGTAGAACATTGTAGGAGGCTCTTGGCCCTCGGGAAAAGAAATTCTAGGGTCACAGTCTAGGCCTAGCATAGACTGTGGCCCCCTCCCTTGACCTCAGCTTGAATACACATCCATTCTGGCTGGTAACAGCTGCCCAAGCTATTGGCCTATGCTCTGCTCCTGACAGGCTGCCCTTTAAGGCAGACAGAGCACAGGTTCTGGAGCCACAGAGACTAAGTCCCAAGCTAAGCTAAGTAAAAAAGAAAGGAGGCTGGTGCTGTGCCCTGCCCACCCCCTCCAGGCCCAAGCTGCTAGAGAGTGCCTCATAGTCACAGATCCTGGCTGAGGGCAACCTACATCCGACCCTACCACAGAGCACACGTGTACCCCAAGACCCAGGTGCCACAGTAGGTTCATAAGACCCTGAAACCTGGGCTCTGGCCATAGCGGCTTTGAGCACCTATATGTGGAACCCAGCATGGCTGCAGCTGCTTATAGACTGTGTCAGCCCTGATACCAAGAGGGATTCCCCTTGGTGAAGTCTCCCCATTGTGGGGAAACAAGAATAGAAGACACCAAGGATGTTAACGAACACTTTTACTGCCACAAACTTCTATAGCCTAGACTACTGAGGAGTCCACAGTTATTGCTGAGGTTCAATACAGCTGAGAAGTTACATGGATTCTATACCACTGCACCTACCTAGAAACAGTCACTACACTCTTCCCAACCATCACACTAAAAACCAACTGCAGATGAAAGTCATTCTCTATGAAAGACATCCTAGAAAGTTCAGAAGAAGGTATCATCCCACCAGATGCATAGACATCAACACAGGGACACAAGAAACATGAAAAAGGAAGTTAGGCATGGGGGTTAACGCCTGGTAATCGCAGAGCTTTGGGCGGCTGAGATGGGCAGATCACCTGAGGTTGGGAGTTTGAGACCAGCTTGGGCAACATGGTGAAACCCTATCTCTACCAAAAATACAAAAATTTGGTGGGCGTAGTGGCATATGCCTGTAATCTCAGCTACTCAGAAAGCTGAGGCAGGAGAATCATCTGAACCAGGAGGTGGAGGTTGCAGTGAGCCGAGATCATATCATTGCACTCCAGCCAGGGCAACAGAGGGAGATTCTGTCTCAAAAAAACCGAATAAATAAAAAGTAAATGGACACCTCCAACTCTCACCTCAAAATAACTCTCTAGTAACAGACCTCATTAAAAAGGAAATCAACAAATTGCTAGAAAAGGAATTCAAAAATAATAATCCTAAGGAAACCCAGTAAGATATAAGAAAATACAGACACATGACAAAATCAGGAAAACAATTCAAGATAACAAGAAATTCCAGCCAGGCGTGGTGGCTCACACACGTAATCCCAGTACTTTGGGAGGCCAAGGAGGGTGGATCACCTGAGATTAGGAGTTTTAGACCAGCCTGGCCGACATGGTGAAACACTGTCTCTACTAAAAGTACAAAACATTAGCCAAGCATGGTGGCAGGCACCTGTAATTCCAGCTGCTCAGGAGGCTGAGGCAGGAAAATCACTTGAATCCAGGAGGCGGAGGTTGGCTGGGCGCAGTGGCTCATGCCTGTAATCCCAGTACTTTGCGAGGCTGAGGCGGGTGGATCACTTGAGGCCAGGAGTTCGAGACCAGGCTGGCCAACATGGTGAAACCCCATCCCTATCAAAAAAGTACAAAAAATTAGCCAGACATGGTGGTGGGCGCCTGTAATCCTAACTGCTTGGGTAGCTGAGGCAGGAGAATCGCTTGAACCTAGGCGGCAGAGGTTGCAGTGAGCCAAGATCGCGCCACTGCTCTAGCCTAGGCAACAAAGTAAGACCCTGTCTAAAAAAAAAAAAAAAAAAAGCAAAAAACCAGAAATCCTATAGCTGAAGATGTTAATGAATGAAATAAAACATAAAATAGCTTCAACAGCAGACCTGATCAAGCAGAAAAACGAACCTCTGAACTTAAAGACAGGTCATTTGAAATTATATAGAGGAAAAAAATAAGAATGAGAAAGGAGTATATTGCCAACACCACAGGACAGTGGAAAGACTGACGTAGGAGTATAAAGGCCTGGATTTGGGTCCCAGTTCACTAACAAATGGGAATATCTGCCCTGCTAATTTCCAGAGCTCCTGTGATGAAAATAATGGATATGAAATTCCTCCTTTGAAAAGCAGGGATGCGCAATCAATATGAGGCATTATGTACTAATGTACATGTCCAGCTAAAATGGAGAAAATCGCTGCCAAATGCCATTTTAGAGCACACATTTTAGTCTCTTCCCCGCAGCAAGCCTCTGAAGGACTTGAGTCCTTTCAGTGAAGTCCAGACAGCTTGCTCTCCGGGAATCCAGCTGTCTCCTGAAGCTGAGTGGGCCCCTCCCTCTTCCATACCACTCAGTGCCCTGTTCATCCTGTTTCTCTAGTATTAACATCTTGTGCTATTTTCCAGTATTTGTTACCATACGTTGAGCACTGGCCACACATTAGGTACCTGACTGCTAAGCCCCTCAATGACCCAGCAATGTGTCAAATCCATTTTATAGACCAGGAGAATTAGGGCCAAAGAAATTAAAAAGGACCTAAGCTACATTCACCTAGATAACTGGAGGCAAAGCTGGAATATAAACCCATGTTTTTCTGGCTCCAAAATTTACATCTCTCCAACTAAATGTAACTTTACATTTTTGTGTTTTTGCTTTTTATTTTGCAAATAGCATCACATTACGTCCTTCCTCTCCAACTATACTGTACATTTTTGTTTGGAGATGGAGTCTCACTTTGTTGCCCAGGCTGGAGTGCAGTGGCATGATTTCAGCTCACTGCAGCCTCTATCTCCCCGGTTCGAGTGATTCTTCTGCCTCAACCTCCCGAGTAGCTGTGAAACAGACACATGCCACCATGCCCGGCTGATTTTTGTATTTTTAGTAGAGACAGGGCATCACCATGTTGGCCACGCTGGTCTGGACCTCCTGACCTCAACTGATCCTCCTGCCTCACTTAGCCTCCCAAAATGCTGGACTTACAGGTGTCAGCCACTGTGCGTGGACTATACTATACATTTCTTGTTTATCTTTATAACCTTGGTATCAAACATAGTGTCATGCAAGTAATATCTGTTTCACTAATGATGCAGACTGGCTAAATGAATAAAAATGGGAAGAAAAAGTTGATAAGAGTCTGGGCATGGTGGCTCACACCTGTAACCCCAGCACTTTGGGAGGCCAAGGCAGATGAATCACCTGAGGTCAGGAATTCAAGACCAGCCTGGACAACATGGTAAAACGCTATCTCTACTAAAAATATAACATTAGCCGAGTGTAGTGGTGGGTGCCTGTAATCCCAGCAACCCGGGAGACTGAGGTAGGATAATCACTTGAACCAGGGAGGCAGAGGTTGCAGTGAGCCAAGATCACAACACTGCACTCCAGCCTGGGTGACAGAGCCAGACCCTGTCTCAAAACAAAACAAAACACTGTGGTTATTACAGGTTAACACCTGTAATCCCAGTACTTTGGAAGGCTGAGGTGGGAAGACTGCTTGAGCTCAAGAATTTGAGACCAGCCTGGGCAACATGGTGAGACCCATAAAACAAATTTTAAAATTATAAATGAAGCCGGGCGTGGTGGCTCACACCTGTAATCCCAGAACTTTGGGAGGCTGAGGTGGGTGGATCACCTGAGGTCAGGAGTTTTGAGACCAGCCTGACCAACATGGTGAAACCCCGTCTCTCCTAAAAATACAAAAATTAGCTGGGTGTGGTGGCTCGTGACTGTAATCCCAGCTACTTGGGAGGCTGAGACAGGAGAATTGTTTGAACCCGGGGGTGGAGGTTGCAGTGAGCCAAGATGGCACCATGACCCTCTAGCTTGGGCAACAAGAGCAAAACTCTGTCTCAAAAAAAAAAAAAAAAAAAGTAAAATAAAATGAACTTTCTTGTAGTATAAATTGTCCTTGTTCCTTTGATACTAATGCTGCCCTGCTGACGAGTGAACCCTGGAGAAGAACAGAAAGCAGAGTGGTGTCATTCTAGGAGCCCCGCCCATGCAACTAAGCAAGCTGAGAACCACCAGACCTGTAACTGAGCAGCTGAAAGTGGCAGCTCCGTGTAGACGATCCTCTGGCAGCTAAAGGAGGTGAGCTGGCAGACTGCCTTCCCATGTGTTGATTATCTGGCCTTTTCTTCCCCAACCAGCCCATGGGTCTCTGTAGCTGGACCCACTGTACACACTCACCTGTTTCCACATCGTTGGCATTGGCTGAGTCCCTCAGTCTCTTCAGAGCTGTGAAGAGAGTAACAGATGTCAGTTTAAAAAAACAGCCATAGTTCAGGCATGGTGGCTTACGCCTGTAATCCCTGCACTTTGGGAGGCCAAGGCGGGTGGATCACCTAAGGACAGGAGTTCAAGACCAGCCTGGCTAACATGATGAAATCCCGTCTCTACTAAAAATACAAAAATCAGCCAGGCATGGTGGTGCGTGTCTATAATCCCAGACACTCAGGAGGTGGAGGTAGGAGAATTGCTTGAGCAGGAGAATCACTTGAACCCGAGAGGTGGAGGGTGCAGTGAGCTGAGACTGCACCACGGCACTCCAGCTTGGGCAACGAGCAAAACTCTGACTCAATAAATAAATAAATAAATAAATAAATAAATAAGCAAGCCATCTAGCTGGGTGTGGTGGCATGCATCTATAATCCCAGCTACTTGGGAGGCCAAGGTAGGAGAATGGCTTCAACCTGGGAGGGGGAGGCTGCAGTGAGCTGAGATCACGCCATTGCACTCCAGCCTGGGTGACAGAGCGAGACTCTGTCTGGGGGTGGGGGAAAAAAGCCATGATGGCCAGGCATGGTGGCTCACACCTGTAATCCCAGCACTTTGGGAGCCTGAGGCAGGTGGATCACTTGAGGCCAGGAGTTTGAGACCAACCCAGCTAACATGGTTAAACTCCATCTCTACTAAAAATACAAAAATGGCTGGGTGTGGTGACTCATGCCTGTAATCCAGTAACTTTGGGAAGCCGAGGTGGATGAATTGCCTGTTCTCTGGAGTTTGAAACCACCCTGGGCAACGTGGTGAAACCCCATCTATACTAAAATACAAAAAATTAGTTGGACACGGTGGTGCATGCCTATAGTCCCAGCTCCTCGGGAGGCTCAGGTGGGAGAATAACTTAAGCCCAGGAGGCAGAGGTTGCAGTGAGCCAACATTGTGTCACTGCACTCCAGCCTGAGTGAAACTTTTTCTCAAAAAATAAAAAAATAGGCCAGTTGTGGTGGCTCATACCTGTAATCCCAACACTGGGAGGCCAAGGCAGGCAGATCATGAGGTCAGGAGTTTCAGACTAGCCTGGCCAATATACTGAAACCTCATCTTTACTAAAAATATAATAAGTAGCCAGGCATGATGGCGCATGCCTGTTATCCCAGCTACTCAGGAGGCTATGACAGGAGAATCGCTTGAACCTGGGAGGCAGAGGTTGTAATGAGCCGAGATTGTACCACTGTATCTAGCCTGGGCAACAGAGCAAGACTGTCTCAAAAAATAATAAAAATAAAAATATAAATAAATAAAATACAAACACAAAAATTAGCTCGGTGTAGTGGTACGTGCCTATAATCCCAGCTACTTGGGAGGCTGAGACACAAGAATCACTTGAGCCCAGGAGCTGAAATCACACCATGGCACTCCAGCCTGGGCAATAGAGCAACACTCCATCGAAAGAAAGAAACGAAAGAAAAAAAGAAAAGACAGAAAGAAAGAGGAGGAAGGAGGGAGGGAGGGAGGGAGGGAAGGAAAGAAAGGACATTTCTCCATTTAAATCAACCTAACATGGTGAAAACCCATCTCTACTAAAAATATAAAAACTAGCCAGATGTGGTGGGGCACACCTGTAATCCCAGCTACTTGAGAGGCTGAGTCAATGAAAGGCTTGAACCCAAGAGACAGAGGTTGCAGTGAGCCGAGATGGCACCACCTGCACTGCAGCCTGGGTAGTAGAGCAAAGACTTAAAAAAAAAGGCCAGTGCATTGGCTCATGCCTGTAATCCCAACCAATACTTTGGGAGGCCAAGGCAGGCAGATTACAAGGTCATGAGTTCAAGACCAGCCTGGCCAACATGATGAAAACCCTGTCTCTACTAAAAATACAAAAATTAATTGGGCATGGTGGTATGTGTCTGTAATCCCAGCTACTCAGGAGGCTGAGGCAGGAGAATCACTTGAACCTGGGAGGTGGAAGTTGCAGTGAGTCAAGATAAGGCCACTGCACTCCAGTCTGGGTGACAGAGCAAGACACCGACTAAAAAAAAAAAAAAGGACACTGCCCTGGGAACAAGGACAAACTTGAAATGAGGCACAGCTAGTACAAAGGCCACATGCTCCTGTAAATCCTCCAAGACTTTTGGAGCCAGATTTCCTCTCTGTCACTTGTAGTCACAGGGTGACCTTGAGCAAGCTAGTTAACCCCACTGGGCCGCAGGTCTATCATCTGCAAAGCAAGACTGAGTTGTTCTGCCAGCCCCAAGTTATTGCAAATGATTTACAAGGAAGCTCTTTGTCAGCTGGCTACACACAAAATCTTATCTTTTCCTTCAAAGCAAGTCATTCCCAAATGACTTGCCTAACTGAATTTGGTATTTCCTAAGCAGAAAGTTTTTCCGCCTCTGATGGCTAATGGAAAGCTATGCCTTTGTCATTGGAGATATGGTCAAAAATTGGGAGGGATCCAAAATGGCCGATTAGGAGCAGCTCAGGATTGCAGCTCCCAGTGAAAGTGGGGAAGAGTGTGTGGACGCTGCATTTCCAGAGGGATTTTTATTGCCCACAGACCGGGAGATTCCCAGGCAGAGGAGACCCATGGGTCGCCAGCGTGGCTGGTTTGGCTGGTGTGGCTGTTTGGTGGCAGGGCTGTTTTAGCGGTACCCTGGCGCGGCGGTTCTCTGTACAAAATATAAGGGTCCGGGTGCTGTTTTAGCTGGCGATTGGAGCTCCGGAAAGGCAGAGTCGCCCATTCATCTGATTAAAAATGGGACTGAAACAGGGAGCCAAGCCAGGAGATTCCTGGGTGAAAAAGTGCCATGAATCTCAGCACCGCTCTTTCAGCCAGTGCAGTGGGTCGCCACATGGGAAATCACACAGATCCCGGTGCCTTTTAAACAAACAAACAAAAAAACGCTCTGAGGCAGGGAGCCAAGTGATCAGGCTCGGCTGGTCCCACCCCCACAAAAAAACAACAATCAGAAACGCTCTTGATTGAGAGTTTCACAACAAGCACACCTGAACCCGGGATGGTCCAGCTCCGTTGGGGAGGGGCGTCCGCCATTACCGAGGCAGTCCGCCACTATGGAGGTAGTTTGCCATTGCTGAGGCAGCCCACCATTACAGAGAGAGTCCGCCATTATAGAGGTGGGCCGCCATTGCCGAGGCAGTTATAACTACACCTGTATAAACAGGCCTGCAGGGAAGTTCACATGGCAGCTGGGCAGAGCCCATGGCAGCTCAGCAAAGCCTCCACAGGCAGACAGTGACTAGGCTGCCTCCTTGCTGGGCAGGGAAGCCCTGAAAAAAGGCAGCAGGACAACAGAAATTCATAAAGCCCTAACTCCCTGGGACAGAGCACCTGGGGAGAAAAAACGGGGGTGGTTATGAGTTCTGCTACAACAGACCTAAAACGTACCTGCCCAGCAGCTTTGCATGAACAGTGGAGCTCACAGCTCAGCACTTGAGCTCCTATGAAGGACAGAATGTCTCCTCAAGAAGCTCCCTGACCCCCGTATATCCAAAGAGTCACCTCAAAAAGGAAAGCTCAGACTGGCATCTGGCGGGCATCATTCTGGGACAAAGATAGCAGAAGAAGAAACTGGCAGCAACCCTTACTGTTCTGCAGCTGCTGCAGGGGATCCCCAGGCAAGCAGGGCCTGGAGTGGAACTCAGCAGTCCTACAGCAGAGGGGCCAGACTGTTAGAAGGAAAACTAAGAAACAGAAAGAAATAACTTCATCATCATCAAACGGGACGTCCACTCAGCCAGCCAATCTGAAAGTCAACAACTACAAAGATGACAGGTGGATAAATCCACAAAGATGGGAAGAAACCAGCACAAAAAGAATGAAAACACCCGAAACCAGAATGCCTCTCCTCCTCCAAGGGATCACAACTCCTCAGCAGCAAGGGAACAAGGCTGGATGTGGAGAATGAATGTAATGAATTGACAGAATCAGGGTTCAGAAGGTGGGTAATCAGAAACTTCTGTGAGCTAAAAGAATATGTCCTAACCCAATGCAAAAAAACTAAGAACGTTGAAAAAAGATTTGATGAAATGCTAATGAGAACAGACAACTTAGGTAAGAATATAAGTGAATTGATGGAGCTGAAAAACACAACACGAGAACTTTGTGAAGCATACACAAGTTTCAACAGCCGAATTGACCAAGCAGAAGAAAGGATATCAGAGGTTGAAGATCAACTCAATGAAATAAAACAAGAAGGCAAGATTAGAGAAAAAAGGAATGAACAAAGTCTCCAAGAAATATGGGACTATGTGAAGAGACCTAATCGACATTTGATAGGTGTATCTGAATGTGACAGAGAGAATGAATCCAAGCTGGAAAATACTCTTCAGGATATTATCCAGGAAAACTTCCCCAACCTAGCAAGGCAGGCCAATCAATATTCAAGTCCAGGAAATATAGAGAACACCACAAAGATATACCTCAAGAAGAGCAACCCCAAGGCATGTAATCATCAGATTCACCAGGGTTGAAATGAAGGAGAAAATGCTAAGGGCAGCCAGAGAGAAGGTTGGGAAGCCCATCAGACTCACAGCAGATTTCTCAGCAGAAACCCTACAAGCCAGAAGAGAGTGGGGGCCAATATTCAACTTCCTTAAAGAAAAGAATTTTCAACCCAGAATTTCATATCCAGCCAAACTAAGCTTCATAAGTGAAGGAAAAATAAAATCCTTTGCGAAAAAGCAAGTACTCAGAGATATCATCACCACCAGGCCTGTTTTATGAGAGCTCCTGAAAGAGGCACTACACACAGAAAGGAAAAACCAGTACCAGCCACTCTAAAAACATACCAAAGGGTAAAGAGCATCAACACAATAAAAAAACTGCATCAACTAACGGGCAAAACAGCCAGCTAGCATCAAAATGGCAGGATCAAATTCACACATAACAATATTAACCCTAAATGTAAATGGGCCAAATGCTGGAATCAAAAGACACAGACTGGCAAAATTGGATAAAAAGCCAAAATCCATCGGTGTGCTGTATCCAGGAA